TCTCAGTAATTACGTAATACTGGGAGAGACACTGAATTGCCCTTTTCTCTCCTCAGAAAAAAAAAAAATGAAAGTATACTTAGTAAGTCAATGTTAAGTCACAGAAATCCCAGATCCAAACAAAAATAGTAGCACACTGAGAGCAGCCTCATGGAGCTAGGCTGACAGAGCTCCCTTGGTGCTGGTGGGAAGATATAAGGCACTAGGAACATGGTCTGGAGCTTCCCGAGGAAAGACCAATGTCTCTGGTGAGGGACTCATGGACATGGACAATAGACTAGTGGTTACCAGAGGGTGGGAGGAGGAGGAACAAGGAGGTAGATGGGGTAAAGGAGGTCAAATATGTGATGACAGAAAGAAATTTAACTATGGGCTGAGAACACACAATGCAATATATATATATACAGATATATCTATATATATCTATATATATACACACCTTACTGTTGAATTGTACACCTGAAACTTCAAGGATTTCATTAACCAATGTCACCATAATAAAGATAAATAAATTTTTTTTTTAAAAAAACCATCTCTGGTGAGGAGTACCAGGACAGGCTTAAAATGAATTATTTCCCTGGAGAAGAACAAAGAACAAGTTAGACTTTTAGGAACCACAGCTGGCCTGGTTCTTGCCCCAGAGAATTGTGTCCTGTATTAAATTTTGGAACTGAATAGGTCATTCTTGGACATATTGTATGTTGGAACTGAATAGGTCATTCTTAGACATATTGTATGTTGATTATTCATTCAGCTTAATAAAATGAGCCTTGATTTATGAATCTCTCTTCGTTGCTGCTTTATCAATCTTTAGGTTCCAAAAACCCTTCTTTATATCTGATCTTGTCTTCATGTTTGCAACTGAAAGCCATTTCTTTCTGTGCAATATTTTGTGGAAATGGAAAGGCCTTTAAATACACAAAGAATAATGTGTTCATTGTTACCAAATTAAAAAGAATCATAGAATGTTTGAAGTTCTAAGGTGATTTAGAGTTCATTTAGAATAATGATTTCTTACATATGGCTATATTGTTCTTCCCTGCCCACCATCCCTTCCCTCTTTTTCAGGTGACAGCACTACATTTTTTCTTATGGGAACCACCCTCCCTGCTTTGTTAGTCCTTGAGGTTTAGATGGGGCTGCTTCTACCCCATAGCTCCCAAAGAGGGTCTAAAGAGACATCCCTTTATCACAGTGATTACTCCAAGTATGAGCACTCAGTCCAGGTTGGGCCAATGAGAGCCAGCCTAATTTAATAGAGTTTGTGGTGTCATCAGGATTCTGATTAATACATGTGTAGAATTTTCCACTGAAAACTTAAGAGGCTTCTTAAGGTCACAGAAAGTCATTCATATAGCTAATTTCTCCTGATAACTACCCATATTCTAGTAGGGAACACAGATATTGACAGACCCTTTCACTCATAAATTAAGAGCATTCATTCACTCAACAAGTCTTCACTGAGATGATGAATATTACTAGATGCCTGAATCTGTGCATGAGATGGAGTTATGAATGAAACAGAACGATGTATATATGGAAGCACACAGGAGGAGCATGGAACCTACCCTCCATATGTACATATGGGTGTCCAAGAAGGCTTCCTGGAGGAGAGAACTGGTTTCCTAATATCTCTGACTCTATTCACCTTTAATTTTCTTCTTCATTCTTATAGCTACTATCTTATTTAGGTCCTTTTTGTTGAACACCTGAATTACAACAATAGCTTTCCAATTAGACTTGTTATTTCTACCTTTATCCTGATCCCAAATACTCAACTTATCCTTTACTGATGACAGAATAATTTTTTTCTTAAAAACATTTTACGTACATAAAAGTACATATGTAAGCATACAGCTTAATGAATTTCACAAAGCAAACACCCCCATTAACCAGTGCCTATATCAATAAACATGGCCAGCACATCAGAAGCCTACCTAATGTCCTCTTCCATATACTCACCTCCCCTTACAAATAAGCTTTCAAGAATACTAGTCTCCGTCTTGCTCCTCGCTTTGTTAAAACCTTTCAAGGACTCTCCACGGACTTCAGGATAAACTCCCACTTCCTTAGCCAAACTAAACCCTAGTAATTCCTAACCTAATGTCCAAGTCCTCACTACCTGGCCTTTGTGTGTGCTGCTCCTTCTGTTAAGACTAACATCTCAGCTCTCTTCCTCCCCCGTTTTAATCATTCCTAATTGTTCCAGGAGCCACCTTCTCAAAGCCCTTCCCTCTCCACTGTCTGTTTCTCTCATAGATTCTTGAAGGTAGAAGTAGTGTTTTTTCATCCCAGTTTCCCAATTGGTTAAATGAATAAATTAGAACACCTGACATCATTAAGTTCCCTTAATGCCCTTTCTTCCTTTCCTTCCTCCCTTCCATTCTTTTTAAATAAGAACAAACCATTGTCCTGTTAATAAGTTAAGGCACATGACCTTCGACCAGTTCAGTCATGTGCGGCTTAACAAGGATGTTCAGAGTAATGTGTCATTAGGTGATTTTGTCCTTGTGTGAACATCATAGAGTGTTCGGAAACAAACCTAGATGGTAGAGCCTATTGTCCTAGGCTACAAGCCTGTATAGTATGTCACTGCACAAAATGACACGAGATTAAATCAAGCACAAGAGAAATGATGCAATAGATGCGGTATACGCCAGATATGTGAGGCTGCTGCCAGTGTAACACCACATACTGTTTATGACAAACTTTTTTTTTATAAGTAGAATATACTCTAAAACAGGGGTCCCCAACCCTTGGGCTGCGGACCAGTATCAGTCTGTGGCCTATAAGGAACCAGGCCCCACTGCAGGAGGTGAGCGGCGGGTGAGGGAGTGAAGCTTCGTCTGTATTTTCAGCCTCTCTCCAGTGCTAGCATCACTGCCTCAGCTCCACCTCAGATCATCAGGCATTAGATTCTCATAGGAGCACCCGTCCCTGGTGCCAAAAAGGTTGGGGACCACTGCTCTAAAATAATGATTAAAAAGTATTGCATAGAAAATACATAAACCAGTAATACAGTCATTTATTATCAGGTATTGAGCACTGTACATATGTGCTATACTTTTATACAACTGGTAGTATGGTAGGTTTGTATACACAAGCATCACCACAAATGTGAGTAATGTGTTGCACTATGACCTTATGATGGCAATGATGTCACCAGGCAACAGGAATTTTTCAGCTCTTTTATAATCTTATGGAAACATTGTTGTATGTGCAGTCTGTCGTTGACAGAAATCTCCTTATGTGGAGCATGACTGTGGTCTGTAGAGAAGTTATGATTGGTTTTCAATGATCCAGCCATACTTTCCTGATAGGTATCCCCTCCCTCTCATACCAAGATAAGACTAAAATAAGGACAGTTTGTGGTCCTGCACCCGACTAAGGTAAGTAGACACATGGAAATTGATATTCATGACATCTGAGCCATTCTGCTGATAGAAAGTTGGTTTAATTGGAGTATGTGGAGGATGTAAGAGAAAACTGGGAGTGGGGGGAGGAAGCAAGCAAGTAGGTTAACATTTACCAAATGCTTACCTACCATATACCAGACACAATGTTAGGCTCTATCTATGATGTCTTACTTAAGTGGGGAAGGAATGAGCATAAATGTATAGTTTTTGAATTGCATAAAAAGAAAAGCCAATATGTCCTTTTCTTCATTTAGCTGAAAAAAGTTATTTGTGCATTTATAGCTTTTTCTTTTCAATTAAAAATAACAGCGGAGAATCATTGAAATTCTTGATTTCAATGACAATTTAATAGCTTGAAAATGATTTTATGAAATTAAAAATAATTAGAAACATTATAAAAGGTTTCACTGTGTAGAAGAAAGTGTTACTAGGTTGATGAGTATATCCAGAGCACCTCATGCTGTCCATCCATCTCCCAAACTGTTATTGTGGCCAGCAGGCCGTGCCACCTGAAACCATTTTTATAGAAGCATTTACAATCTCTATGTGATTTTTAATGAAAAAGTTCTTCACAAAAAATCAAAATGGCAAATCTAAGTTTATTTTCTGTATACATAACATCAAAAACATCTGCAGGTTGGCCCCATTCCCAGAAAATCTATTTGTCACCTAACATCCTGTGATTTATATGGCATTGGGCTGAGAACAACCGATTCACAGCTGTGATCTACTAATAGTTTTCTCAAAACTGCCTCCTCTCCTTAGGTCAGCAGCCCCTGGCCTATTTAGAATTTCACTGAGTAAAAGTTTAATAACATAAAGGCCAAAACTCAGAAATTCCAATTCAAGCCGTAGGGGAAAAAAATTCCTCAAGCGACTGTAAAAGTAGATGCCTTGATTGTTTCCTCATTGATAAACCTGGAGAAGCCAATGTGATACATATCCTTTAAGACCTAAACTCGGGCCGCTATTCGTTTATCTTAGTCATCAGTTTATTGTCCAGAGTGTTTTGTATAATCTTCATAAGTGCAGAAATTAAGTTGTTTCTTAAGTGCTTAGTGAAATTAATGGTGATGTTCAAACATTCACCTCACTGAAAAGCCAGGAAGTTCCCTGAGGACAAAGGCTCAAGGGCCTTACCTTTCTTTGTCTTTTGGTTTAATGAGTCCCCCAGCCCTAGTATAAAGAATGGTATGAGCCGGCAGTCAGAAGTGTTCAGTGGTTCTTATGACAGTAGAGTTTAACTTACAACTTGGTTTCACAATATGTACAACCTCCGTAGTCCGCGCTGCAAGGAAGTGTCTGTACTTTTCTCGGTGGGTCACGAGGTCGAGGTCAAGTTCACCGACGCTTCTAGGGCTCCCTCCCTCCAGCGGGCGTCGCTGGCCGTAGCAAGGCGGTGAGAAAGGAAGTGGTCTTGGATCCGCTGTTCTTCTCGGAGGCTCTGCACTTCCGATCCGACTTCGCTCAGTGCCAGCGCCTGCGCCTGCCCTCGCGCCGCAGCAGCTTTTGGAGGGTCTCGCTCCGCCTGCGCGCACCCAGGGATGAGCCAGGCCCTCACTCTGGAAGGCGCGGGTTCGGGCCATGGCGATTGAGCGCCGAGTGCAGCTGGGAGAGAGCTCCCGGTGGGCGGGGGCGCTCGGCTAGAGCAATGAGCGCGCGCAGAGTGATCCGGGACCCCTTGAGACGGGATCCAGAGTAGCGGGTGAGGAGCGGGTGGAGCGTGGCGGAGTAGTCTGGGAGCAATGGAGGAGGTGGAAAGTGGGCGGAGGTGCAGCAGAAAACGCCCGGGGCCTGGTGGGGCCGGTCGGGCTAGGGGTGCGGTGGAGGGGAGGGACGGGGCGGCGTCCGGCTGGGCTGCCCAGCTCGCTCACCTAGTCCTGGCGGCGCGCCCCGAGGCGAGTCGCGGGGAGGGGAGCGGGATATGTGGGCCTTGGGATTCCGGGACCGCCCTCTCCCGGTCCAGAGTCTGCGGGGAGCGGCAACGACGGCTGGAGCCGCAACGGCAGTATGAGAGCGGGCGCCGCTGCTCCTCGCCTGCGGACGCGCGGCCAGCGGCGGCGGCTCTGTCTGCGCGCGCCATGGGGGCGCCGTGGGGCCTCGTGGTCCCCCTGCATGGTCTGCGGCGCAGAGCCGGGGGGCTGCCAAGGACTGCCTCTTTGCTGGCGGCCACCAGCCTGGTGTGCATGGTTCTGGCTACTTATGCCTGCTGGGGACAACTGCAGCCGCTGCCCTCGCTCTCCTACGCCCCGCCGCGTCCGGTGGGCGTGCTGCTGTGGTGGGAGCCCTTTAGGGGACGTGACGGAACTGCGAGGTCGCCCCCTGACTGTTGGCTGCGCTTCAACATCAGCGGCTGCCGCCTGCTCACCGACCGTGCGGCCTACGGGGAGGCCCAGGCTGTGCTTTTCCACCACCGAGACCTCGTGAAGGGACCCCCTGACTGGCCCCCGCCCTGGGGCGTCAGCGCGCGCACGGCAGAGGAGCTGGAGCTGCAGGTGTTGGATGACGAGGAGGAAGCTGCGGCGGCTGCTGCCGAAGACCTGGCCGCCTCGGGCCCCAGGCCTCCGGGCCAGCGCTGGGTATGGATGAACTTCGAGTCGCCCTCCCACTCTCCGGGGCTGAGGAGCCTGGCAGATAACCTCTTCAACTGGACCCTCTCCTACCGGGCCGACTCGGACGTCTTTGTGCCCTATGGCTACCTCTACCCCAGGACCCATCCCAGCGACCAGCCGCCAGGCCGGGTGCCTCCGCTGGCCCGGAAACGCGGGCTGGTGGCTTGGGTGGTGAGCAACTGGGATGAGCGCCAGGCCCGGGTCCGCTACTACCACCAGCTGAGCCAGCACGTACCCGTGGACGTGTTCGGCAAGGGCGGGCAGCGGCGGCCGGTGCCTGACATTGGAGTCCTACACACGGTGGCCCGCTACAAGTTCTACCTGGCCTTCGAGAACTCGCAGCATCTGGATTATATAACAGAGAAGCTCTGGCGCAATGCGTTCCTGACTGGGGCAGTACCGATAGTGCTGGGGCCGGATCGTGCCAATTATGAGCGCTTTGTGCCTCGGGGTGCCTTCATCCATGTGGACGACTTTCCTAGTGCCTCCTCCCTGGCCGCCTACCTGCTCTTCCTCGACCGAAATCCAGCTGTCTACCGCCGTTACTTCACCTGGCGCCGGAGGTACGCCGTGCACATAACCTCCTTCTGGGATGAGCCTTGGTGTCGGGCTTGCCAGGCTGTGCAGAGAGCTGGGGACCGGCCTCAAAGCATGCGTAACTTGGCTCGCTGGTTTGAGCGGTGAAGCCACCCTCCCCAGGGAGGCCAAATTGTAACTTTTCGATCCTCTGTTGTGCATCTCCTTGAGTGCCGAATCATGGCACTAAGTTTTCCAAACACACCATTTTACTTTATGGGAAGAAGGTGATTTACCAATTAATATTATTCAGCACAGAGACTGGATAGGAAGGACACTGGTTCTCATGATTTTTTGTGCAACTAGCAGTTGGGCTCCCTCTGTTGTTGATGGGCATCAGTGTTCCGGGCTAAAGGGGGTGCTTCCTCACCTTCTAACTAACCATTGTGCGGAGGGGAAGAAATAGCTTCACTACAAGAAGCCATTGAGTCAGTTGCTCCGAATCTCCTCATTGCCACAGGCCATATTTTTGGCCTGTGCTGAGTCAAATATGGTACACACTACTCAACTCACATTTTACTGAGCCAATGTGCAGCAAACCCGTGATTTTATAAAGAGCTTTGTTGCAGGATAGTGGAAGGACTATGGCTGTAAGGGGTTCTTTTCTTGTTTTTGATTGGATTCCTCAAAGCCTCAGCTTCTGAGAAAGATGAGGAGAGTGGTCTTAGAATCCAGTTCCCCTACTCTATGAATGGAAACAAGATGCTGGATTGTCCTTGGAGAAGAGTTAAGATGAATATATAAGTGTACCTCACTTTACGCAGATGTATTCCTAAAAAGCTGCTTTTCAATCAAATCCCAAATTCACTGCCATAGGTGAGTTCAGTATTTAATAAAACCCTATGGAGAATCCCTTTACAATGTGAATAATCATCTCCTATTTTCTGTGTCTATGTTTTTCTATAACCTGGATTTTCAAAAAAGCATGTAAATATTATAGAGGTGAAAATAAAGCAGAAACGACCTTCTCCCCTCTTCCCAGAAAACCAGAATGTGTTTACAAACAGAAGAGAAGGAAGCCACAGTGTCACTTTTCATAAAATCACTTACTTTGTGTCTTTACTGGACCTGAAATTTAAACTGGAATGTCAGTCCTCCAGGGGCTTGCATTACCTGTCTGCAGAACAATGAAAGAGATGGTACTACATTATGAAATCGTACAATAGGAAAAAAGTTTCATGGTATCTATTAATGGCAGTTTTTCTGTCAGTTTTTTGTTAAATGTTTAGTTGCTAGGGAATGGAATTAAATTAGTGCCTGGGCTAATTTGTTAAAGACTAAATCTGTATTTTTTCCGGGGCCAGGTTCTCCTCGTAGTCTAGATAGTAGTGTATATATCCTCACATTTCCAGGGCTCTTGAGACTGTGCCATGGGACCAACTTTGAAAATATGAGCATTGACTTTTAAAAGTTTTTGAATGAGCAGCAGATTCAATAGGTGTTACCGTGTGCCCACTCTGTGCCAAACACTGGGCTTGGAGTGCCACAGGAAAGACAAAAATTGTAAGGCAAGTTCCCTTTAAGACTCTTACAATCTACTACTGCTAACAAGTTAATAATGAACTTTGATAAATCAACTGGCAGAACCTATTTGTTTTAGTGACATTTTTAGTGATATAGACCATAAATGAAGTACTAGAAAGCCAGTTGATTTACAGCTTGAAATAATAGTTTGTATTTCTCCTTGATTTATTATAATAAGGATCTTCAGTGACTAATTATTGTGGGTAGGGTCCAAGAGTAATTCGGTTTATACAGAGTTCTGCTGTAAACAGTAATTTTGCATTTGTCTCCTACAATTAGCTGAATCATAAAGTTTTATCTCTGTGCATTTGTTGCAGACTCACTTAAAAAGCTCACTAAAATCTAAAAAGTGCTTCAGTTCTCTCATCTTTAAAAAGAGAAATTAAAATCTGTGGATAAAATTTCCTCATTAATATATTATAATATAGGCAGAATTATAATTACAAAGGATCAGTTATCCAATAAAAAGGAAAAATTCTAATTTTAAAATGAGCGTTTATGAGATATTGGCCCATGATCTAGGTATTATTGGGAATCTACATGGGACAGTGGGAGAGAGTTTGGGTTTTGAAGGTAATCTGGCTTAGATTTGAATTCCAGCAGTGTGACCTTGGGCAACTAGTAATAACCCTTCCTTTAAGGCATAAACTTTTCTTTCAAATTTATTACGAATTTAATATTTTTAGCACTTGATGACTGTAATTACATGAGTGCTTCTGAAATGATATTTGCATCAGGAAGACAATCTGATTTGCTTTCAGTATTCATAGGTCCTTTCCAGTTTCCAAGTCCTTCCCCGGCAGTAATTTAGAGATGCCAGGGCGGCTTCATGAATAAAGCCGCAATTTGGAGTCAGAACCTGAGTATGTGGTTCTGCCACTTTCTGCCCCTATGGTCCTAATTAGACAGAGCCTAATTGAACTCTCTGAGTTTTAGCTTCCTCATTTATAATGCATGAATGCCCTTACAAAACAAGGATTAAATGTGATGTTGTACTCCAAGATGCTTTGTACATTGTAAAGCACTACACAGTTACAGGATGCTCTAAATTTTTAAGGCTCTAGAAGAGGGGTTAGCATACTTTTCTGTAAAGGTCCAGAGAGTAAAGATTTCAGGCTTTGCAGGCCATACAGTTTCTGTTGCTGCTACTCAAGTCCACTGTTATAGTGCACAAGCAGCCATTGATAATACATAAACAAATGGAGTGCCTAGATTTGACTCATGGATCATAGTTTGTCAGTTCTGCTCTAGACTTTTAGAGATACAAGGAATTTGAGAACCTACCTGATGAGGGTTTCTTAAGAGGGATTTAAGAATTGGAATTTAAAATTTTTGAGGCAGATATTCTTTGGTTCCTAGACCAGCTTTGCAACATTTCCTATTATCTTATTTTGAGCAAGTTATTTAAGCTTTCTGTGTTTCGATAGTCTCATCTCTAATCGAAGGTAATCATGTATAATTTATGGAGGTGTTAGGAGAATTAGACAAGACACAAAGTACTCAGTACAGTGTCTGGTACATAGGAAACACCTAGAAGATGTTAGCTATGATTATTACCAGCCCATTTTACAGAAGGAGCCGAGGTCCAGACCCAGTGAAGGACTCACCTAAGGTTATAGTAGCAGTGGCAGAACCAGCTGTGCTTGTGCAAATCACAACCACTTTGAGCTTCTGTCTCGAACTTCAAAATGAGAGTGTTGAACAAGATCTCTTGGGACCTCTAGTTCCACTTGCCCTTATTCTACTAACTGGCACCCCAAAGCTTTAAGAACTAATTCACCTTCCAATGTGCCTTCCTTACAGTTTGGAAATGACTTACTATAAACAATAGTAAACTGACAGAAAACTAAGCATCACAGGAGGAGACTCTGATTTAGCATTAAAATAATTTTAAAGTGTCAGATGCTTTAGATATCAGGGAAGGGAACCAAGTCCTTGGTAATTAGTATGGTGAGTAATTGCACTGAATACATTTTGTCATTCTTGAATGTTTCTCAGGGACCTTTATGTTACACATTCTTATAACAAATCAAGTATTTATGTATACATGTTCAGGTTATTTTGACAAAATGATTAAAGTAATGAGGTTGAAAATGACTCCTTGTTTATAATGTGTATCCCCACGCACTAATGTGTTTAACCTTGACACATGGTAAGTTTCTTGGTCAAGGGGTTTCTTTAAGTTCATTGGTTCTAGACTGGTAACTGAAATGTAATGGCTTTGCCTCCTCTGAATTGCATCTGGTCCTACTCAGCTCATTCTTTTGTCTTCCTTGCCTGGCTTTCTCACTTTAACCTGATGACTCATCTCTAAGGGCACAAGTAGTAGATACCTTTCTCTCATTCCAATTTATTTTACTAAGTGCTCTAATGCCCTCTGTGTACTGTCTCTAGCTCCTGTTCACTAAATTAAACAATGCCATTTTTTAAAGAGGTGGAATAACGTCTGGCAATGTGAGGGTGGGCAGAAGTATCTTTTTTAGCAAGTGGACTCAAATTATTGAAAGGGGAAAATATAAAATTGGAAAATACTCTAAATATTTTCTCTGCTTGCCCTCCAACACACACACACACACACACACACACACACACACACACACACACACACACTGACACGCTCATTTCAGAACAGATTTTGAAAAATTAATAATAGCCAGCTTAGGGTAGGAGGAGTGACAAGAACAGGATTTGGTAATGAATGAGTTAAAACAAAAGTGCACTATAGAGTAGAACAGATGGTAAATATAGATGATAAGTGAAGAGGAAAAAAGGAAAAGGGAAAGACATTGGGGTAATTGAGTAAGAAGTGTTTGAAGAGAAAGCGAGATTAGAAAAAAAGGAAAGGGAAGATAAGGGCTCAATGACAATGAAGGAAGTAGGGTAAAGGAGGAACATATGCACAGAGAATGAGGGAATGGTGTAAAAGCCACCATTCTGTGACCCTTTTCTAAGAAACCTTTGTTCCGGCTTGAAATGCAGCATCTGTTGGCAAATGAGAAATGAAATCAAGAAGTCTGAACTCACTGGCAGGACAAGTCAGAAACTTAACAAGAAATGAACTAACATTTCAGCAGAAATGTAAAACTGTCCCATGATTCATTACAACAGATACTTGAAATCTTATGAATGCTTCTTTTTCATTTTGGAAAAAAATCCCATTCATTGCAGTTGTTTTTTTTTTTAAATTCCCAGTTGGCATACTTCAGTTGTACTCAATATCTACTGTTAGAGAGATTTATTATGTTTTTATATACCCATGGTCAACAAATGACTTTTTTTGAAGAAGAGCCAAAGGACTCAATACATTTAATACACTTACTTGTTTCATGTGGAACCCTATTATAAAACTATTTCAAGTTAAGTTATAAAAAATTGGATTTTCGAGATCTTTAAATTAGTGTTTTTATATTTTAAATATTTATTTTATTTTGAATTACAGTTGGCATGTGATATTATATTATATATAACATTTATATAACTTACAAAGTGGTCATCCTGATAAATCTAGTATCCATCTGACACCATACATAGTTATTACAATATTATTGACTACATTCCTTATGCTATACTTTACATCTCCATAACTATTTTGTAACTACCAATTCATACTTCTTAATATCTTCCCTTTTTTTTACCCACTCCCTGTCCCCCTCCCATCTGGCAATCATCAAAATGTTCTCTTTATCTATGAGTTTGTTTCGTTTGTTTTCTTTAGATTCCACATGTAAGTGAAATCATATGGCATGGCATTTGTCTTTCTCTGTCTGACTTACTCCACGTAGCACAATACTTTCTAGGTCCATTCATGTTATTGCAGATGGCAAGATTTCATTCTTTTATAATATTCCATTATATATATGTACTACCTCTTCTTTATCCATTCATCCATTGTTGGACACCCAGATAGCCTCTATATCTTGACTATCATAAATAATGCTGCAATGAACATATGGAGTCACATGTCCCTTCAAAGTAGTGTTTGGGGTTTCTTCAGATAAATACCCAGAAGTGGATTCTTATCTGTCCCTTGTATAGCCTTGTTTTAAAGTCTTTTATCTGGTATAAGTATTGCTACCCTAGCTTTTTGGGTTTTTTATTTGTCCCTTGTATGGCCTTGTTTTAAAGTCTTTTATCTGGTATAAGTATCGCTACCCTAGCTTTTTGGGTTTTTTGTTTCCATTTTTAAGAAACATCTTTTACATCCTTTTACTTTCAGTTTGTGTGAATGTCCATGGCACCTTTTAAGCTGCTGTCCCAGTGCTGGAACTCAGAGTGAGTGAATTCGTTACCAAGAAAGTTCGTGCACAGGCTCCTTAAGAAGATGTCTGTGATTTCAGTGACCCTATATCTCACTCAGCCATAATTTCCACTGGTTTATACAGCCAGAAGTTGTGGAGACTTCTCTTCTTGGCACTGGAACCCTGGGGCTGGGGAGCCTAGCGTAGGGCCTGGATCCCTCGCTCCTCCTGGGGAAACTCCATAGCTGAGATGTCCCGATTTTCAAACAGCACACATGGGCGGAACCAGCCTGTTCCATGTCTTCGCCCCTCCTACCAGTCTTGAGGAGGTGGCCTCTTGTCTGTGTCCCTAATTGTAGGACTTCTGTTCAGCTAGACTTAAGGTGACTCCTAATGATGGCTGTTCTGTAGTTTAGTTGTAATTTTGATATGGTTATGAGAGGAGGCGAGTGCAGTATTTACCTACTTCACTCTCTTGACCAGAACTCCAAATTAATGTTTTTAAAAGTTACTGAATCTTACCTAAATATACTAAGAATAATATCCTATTAGACTATGAGTGTTAAAAATCTTAATCTGAATTATTTTTAAAAGGGGGAGAAATGGATTACTCAACAATACTTAAACATTTCTTGAGTGCCTTCTATGATCAAGACTAGGGATTTGCTAGGACTTGGGGATGTAAATAAAACTAAGGCAAGGATTCTGCACTCAAAAAGTGTATGTTCTAGTGGGAGAAACAGACATGTTTACAGATAATTCTAACATATAAGTGTTGTTGTAATAAAGATATGTCATAGTAAGATGTATTAGAT